CTTCTCCTAATACGTCGTCGGTTAGGTAGCACTTGAGGAACTGATTCACGAGCCCCGGCCAGCTCACGTCGTCGTGTAGCTGGCCGGCGCGGAGGCCACGCATTGTATAACTCGTATACAGGCGCTCCGCGTCGCGCTCTAAGAAGTGCGCGAGGACTCGTACCGCAACACCTTCGGTCAGGTGTTGCGAGTTGAAGGTTATCCGGATATCCTTCAGGAACGGTAGGAGTTGGATCGGGTTCGTACCGTCAAAGCTCGTCATCGTGGGACGGATCCCACGGCAGCGTTGAACGTACTTCGCGATCCGTCCCGCGTCACCCGAGGTGACGAGCCTCGAGGTGTTATCCAAGCGGTACATACGATAGTCAGCGACGGCGCTGAACTCTTGGATCATCGTATGTACCGGCTGGAGTCCAGGTTCGGCGGGACCTAACGTGCCGAAGGGGGTGACAGGTAGCGTACAGACGTCTACCGGACCTGGATGCTTGGCGTAATCCACCGGCGGGTAGCCGCCCCAGCGAGGATCGACGGAGAACACGGGTTCTCCGGATCCGCGGGCGGCTCGTCCATGGTCGGGGTCGTCGCGATACGGTGCTCGTACGGTCCGCCACCTGCTTCCGGCGGCAGGTGGCAGAGCTTGGGTCTCGGACGCCACGTCGGCGTCCACCGGAGGTCGTCTTTCTCCTGCGTCCGGACTGGGATCGGCCACAGTTGGGCGCCATCCTTGTGGGGCGGCAGCGTACGGAGGTACAGCACCACCGGGCCCTGTCGTGGAGGCACCGGGCAGCCTTGCCGCCATGTTACGTTCCAGGTCACGGGCACGCTGCCCCGTGGACTGCAGCTCAGCGGTGAGGTGCGCGAAGGCACCAAGTTGCTCCGCCGAGGGGGGTTGACGAGCGTCAGGACGTCTCGACGAAGCCGGCCTCGTGGGACGTCCTTCCCTATACGTAGCGGGGTTCTTGGGACGCGAGTTTTCGACGAGCACCAGTCGCCATTGCAACTGGTCGACCAGTGCTCGGAGATTCTCCAGCGACTGGGTGACGCGGTCGAACCTCCCCTCGCGGATGGATCGGAGCTCGTCCATGCAGCGCGAATAGACGGCGTCCGTAAAGTCGATGGGGAGGGAAGTACGGACTTCCTCGATGTAGTCTGCGATGCGGTCGAACATCGCCGCCGCTTGTCCTTCGGGGGACTCAGGCGACGGTTCGCGGTCTCGGAGACCAGCGTCGCCGTCGCCGAACGGCGGTGATGGGGAGTGCATAGCGGCCGCCCTCAGATCCGCCGGTTCGGAGCGGATCGAGGGGGCGTATTCTTGACTCATCTCGACGCGTACGGACGCGGAGGAAAAAGAAAGTCTTCTCGGAAAGATCTCGGGGTCTTCTAGGTCGGGAGACCACTGTAGCATAAACACCCCCAACGGCGGAGGGGTGTTGCTAACAGTCCGACGGGGACCCTTGATCGGCGGAAGACGGGGGACTCCTCCTGCTCACGGCACCGGGCACGGGCCCGGTAGCAGTGTGGTAGAGCGGGTCAGGGTAGGTCGCGCGCACGCACGAGCGGATCGACGCCTCAACGCCCCGGAGCAGCGCTGGGTGACGTACCAGCGCTGACGGGCGGAGGCGGATCCCGGCTCGCTCGCGTGTCGCGCAACCCGACCCGTGCCGGTCCCTAACTAAAAAGGCGTGCGAAGGTGTCGCCTAATTAGGGTAAGCTGGAGGGTTTCGCTGCGGTTGTGGATCGTGACCAAGCTACCTTGGTCCTCTCCCCGCCGGCGCCCTTCCTCCTATTTAATATACAAATCGAAGTTATCATACTATAGTACATTATCGTGCTACTGTACCAGTGCGGGTCGTCCCGCACTGTAATACTGTCAGCCATCGGGCTGACAGCACACGTGTCGTACACGTGTGCTGGCGCACGCGCTGTAAGATATGCGCGCGCGCCCGCTGTAAGGTTCGTACCTTACAGCGCGATCTAGATCTAATTGCAAATCTAATGTATACAGTAGTCGTCGGCAATTTTGCCACACTACCGCGATTGCGATCGCGCTGGTGAGGGTGTTTTTAGCCATCGGGCAACACGTCGGTAGTAGCGTTGCTACACAGTTACGATCCCGTCGGGTAGTGCTGAACAAGCCCCCGTCGAAGACCTTGAATTATACCGAAGGTGCTGAAGACGCTCGCCGAGCATTGGCCTTACAACCCAGCGAACCGCGGTTACATCCTCGTAGACAAGCCCAACATCCCGCACTCGTCGAGCACTCAAGTCTTCACAAGTCTCTACCACCATTATCTTCCCGGGCCGGGCATCTTTCCTTACCCCCCCGTCAGAGTTGAGCTACCGTGGGCCGCAAGCCCACACAAGGGGAAAGGGAGTCTCGAACGCTCCGTAGCGCGTGCCATCGGCAGTGGTTGTTGCTGTCGTTGTTTTCTTCTTTTTGTTTGACCGTCGGACTGTGTTCGCGGCCCGCCAGGCACATTGCACTACATCGACTGCAGTTTGGGAGTTAGTTGTTGCTCTTCCCAAAGTCCGTTTGTGTTGAGGGCAAGACCACACATAATCATCGCCTTATGGGCGTATGTTATCCCATTCTCGTCCCGCTGTCTGTTAACCCTATCCGTAGCTTTCTTTGCTAGCGACAAGAAATATCGTTTTCCAGGATTCTTAATCCTTCCAGATGAATCGGACCATTGGTTCTTCATAATTTGGTCCATCTTATACTCCCCCCACATCGTCTTCCCCTCAACCTTGATTTTCTGGATAATAAAAGAGTCACACGGCTGCAAAAGATGGGTCGTGTTAGGAGGAAAATACAGCAATTCCGTGTTGATCTCACGGAGCGCTTTCTTTTGCTCTTCAGTCTGATTGTGTCCACTGCAATTATCCAAAAAGAGCATACGCTTTCTTCCGTTTGGAAGACTCCACATAACCCTCCGCTCCCGAAGCCATTGAGGTAGCACGGTTGTATCAATCCAGCCTTTGGGCCCAGTGCGACAGGCTACGCCTGGACTATTATCAAGTATACCCCTTATGGGATAGTTGCGATCTTTGTTTTCGAAAACCATGAACGGCGGCTCTATTTTGGCGTCCCGACCTCCACTTAGCCGTACAAGCATAGTCATCCCCTCGCCCCCAGAAACTACGTCGGCGTACTTGACCTCCTCATCGCCTGTAAATCCGAGCGTGGTTCCGCTATCTATGTCGATCACGAAATGCGTTTCGTCGGCATTTTCGACATCATTTTCGTCTATCTGCCTGTTTCTGGATAGTCGAGCAAGATAACCCAAGTGGTAAGCAACTTCTGTCTCAAGCTGGAGTTCCTTGGCTGGTGATAGCTTTTTTCCCCACATTGAGACCGGCAGTGAATTCGAAATTTGTCACCAAACTGTTGCACAAATCGAGGTTTAACCAACTCAATGATAGACTTGCCACTTAAGGGATCTGTCATATTTGCTGAATACTCGTGTGTATCGGAGTTCTGCAAACCGTACCGGCATAAAGAACCAAGATTTTGATAATTGAACTTGACTCCGAGTTTCCTGAGCCGATCAAACTCTGAGCACCAGTCGCGATAGATTGCAACCTTCCAAGCCGGGAGTTTACGACCACGACCAACTACAGCCTTGATTCAAATACGTTTCAGACCTGATGAGGTGTTGTGGCAGATAACACGGGATTGACGTGATGATCGGCTGGAGTCGGGGCTGTCCATCTCAATATATTTGGTTTTGTCTTTCCAGATACGCGAATCCTTGTGTAGATTGGCATTGCTGTTGCCGCGAAAGAGATCTGGAAACGGCTTGACTGCACGACTTGAAATGTTCCTGGCACAAAGCGGTGGCAAACGTGCTGCTTGCACCATCCACTTGCAGATCCTGATGCGCTTTGATACGCTCAGCACGTGATGCAATGCTCTCTTTCCGCTATGTGAGCGAGACAGTACTTCTGCTGGTTCTGCGCTAGCGGGAGGCGCAGAACCGGGAGCAACTGTAGCAGTTGGGACGTTATTCAAGTCAGGTTGTGCGGTTTGTCGTGCAGCACGGAGCGCTGATCCCCTTTCAAATGCTGCCAAGATTGGAGATCCTCGGACGGGCATGGTAATGTTGCCGATACTGGGAGGGACGAGGATGTGCGAGTGAGAAGGGTTGTGGTCTCTCTTGGGAGGTGAGTCGTTGGAAGGGGAAACTTACTGTAGGTACGCATGCGCCGACTGCTAAGGGGATCGATCGAATGCCGCTGAAGAGGCCATCGCCGACCGCATCAGTCACACACACTATTGGATGTGCACACATGAATTACTGTGCGGGACTCTAATTATATTTCCGTCCGCGTGGAGTGTACAAGAAATAGTGTCACACACACTATTGCGGTAGTGACACTAATATTATGGGGAGACTAAATGAGGTAACTGGGTGTACTGTCAATGTTGCGGTGTTCTTTTTCTCCAGTGCTGTACCCTTGGTACTGTATACCATGGACACTGTACGGATTTGGCCACACCAAACGCATACACGTATTCAAAATTGTGGTTGCCTCAAATCTCTCAGAACGATGCATGTCTTGTAGAGCAACTTGGAATATAACTATTGGCTGTGTCTATACCAAGGCAGCAAATACCCGATGTCCATTGGATGAACATAGACATTCGCCGACGGCGCGGCGGTTCGGTCCTTGCTGGGCTTAGCACAGGCCTTCAAAGGATCTAACATACTGTATGATACTGTACTGTAGAACGGTACAGCGCGCAGTATCCGCTTCCGTCAACACCCCATGCATAACTTTCCCGTCAAGCAAGCCGGCCACCTTGCGCATTGGAACTTCTCTCCATACGTTTGGTAGAGGCAGGCAACACGTTTCGCGTTCCGCCCAAAGGTTCAACGATGCAAGCTCCACAACAAAAATTTCAAGGAACACGGGGCTGGTGATTTTGCGAAGCCTACATTCCCCTTCTCATTAGCGCCCGCAAAGCACGCTGACAAATCGAAAAGTGCACACGCGTCATGGGCCGCGCAGATCTTTCCCGCTATCGCACTGCATCTCCCTCTGAAGCCCGTCCGATTCCTTTTCCTCCCACTGTCGCCTGGGTACTACCCGAGCTACGAGAGAACCCCGCCAGTGCAATTGCTCAGGCCATACTCAGCGTAGATAATGCATCAACGCAGAGGGAGCAGGTGCATGCTGTGAAGATTTTGGGAATTTCGCTTCGGGATGCCCATATTGAGGGTGCCCAAAAGAATCTTGCGCGATTCAAATGCTCCTGTACGAATCCCGCTTCTGAAGTCCGACCTATATGTCACCTCGCTGTTCCGGTCTTAAACACTTTGCTTTTCGAGACGCCAGCAGCGACTGGAGGTCTCCTATCAGGAGCCCTACGGTCTGTACTTCTCTGTAGGCAGGCAGGTATAAACGGTTTTGATAGCCCGGTACAGAAGTTCCTGGCGCGAGTTGCTGGATGGGCCAACAAAGCCGAAGATGAGCAGGATAACAATAGCCCTCAATTCTTAGAGAAGAATATCTTTTTGGAAGCAGCAGCGGATGTATCTGCTCTTTCCGTTGTCCTAGCGGAACAAAAATCACGCAAATGGATTCTTGACAACAGCGAGTGTATACTTGGTGTGCTCAACTTGATATGTTCCATCAATGAGCTTTACTACATTACCGCAAGTTCTGACCGCTCGAAAGCCACACGACTTCTAACTCCCTCGACTTCGAGCTCTTTTTCTGCACGGATCTCCACGCAGGTAGACCGGGTACTGGTGGAAGCGTCATGTGATTCTGCGATGAAGGCTGCACAGGATATCATCAACTTCCTGTTTACTTCAGAGCTCAACGGGGACAATCTCCATTTTGTTGACATCAAGAAAGCTGTGGAAAGAACCACGCTGGCTTGCGAAAGGGTTCTTACATTGCCCAATGCTCCCCGAAGCTCCCTCATGGCGTGTGCCGTTGCTCACGTCTCTGGATTGCTATTTCAAACTGCTCGAGGCGAGAGTGCAAACTGTGCGGCAAATGTTCTGCACATGCATATTTTGGATCGTTTAGAAGTATTCCCTCCGTTTGCCAGGTTGTCTCTGCTTCGGAGTGTGATGGAGGCACCTGCAGCGAACTATACTCATCCGATACTGCTCATTCCGCCAAAAGGGGCAAAAGGGCCAAGGGCGCCCGACAAATCCGTGTTCGAATCCCTGGTATCCTTGACATCAGCCAACGCTGACGTGCATTTGAGATACTTGAGTATGGATTCCCTAATTGCATGCCTGCGGCGACTTTCACCCAACGAACTGAGTGCGCATTGCCGAGATCTAGTCTTGAGTCTCATTTATGAACGATGGCAAGAACCGTTCCCTGGAGTCTCGTCCCAAATACGACAAGCAATGGAAGCTCTTGTAAATGTAGACGGAGGTGGAGATGAGGCAAGAGAGTTTTGGTTGAACATGGCGAAGTCTCTAATGAAAGGCAACTGGGATTCCAAGGGCATTTATGCTCCGCTGAGCGTCTTAGTGAATCGCCTTGGTGCTTCGACGTTGTTAGATGTCGAACCAAATTGCCAAAGTCTAGCCATTCGGGCGGCCGGAAACGATTCGAGACTAGCAAAAGCTGCTTCGGATTGGATAAGTACGTTTTGGGCAAAGTTTTGGCTTGAGTGCAACCCTTCGAAGTCGCGCTTCTATAAGATTGTGAACAAGGATCTAGTGCAGTGTCTTGTTGATGATCGCATGGATGGGTTGCGAGAAAGGACAGCAGAGTACATGTTACCATCGTATCTACAAGCGATTGGACAGAAGAACATCAAGGGCGGTTCTCTTGCACTCTTGACGTACTTGGACACTACAACCGAACGCGGCAGTGCCTCAAGAATTCGAGGAACCATTAATGTACTGTCTGCGGCCCGTCACCGCGGTGTATTCATGGGTTCTTTCTCTGACCCTGCTCTTCGCAATCTACTTGTTGATGCCCTCTCAAGTGGATTAGAAGATGTAAGGGCATCAGCGCTTGATCTGGTTGTGATTTGTAGTGTCCCTACCGCGCCTATAGCGAAAGAAGAGATAGATATGGTTCGTTCCCACATTCCGGATGCACTGATGCCTGGATGCTCTCCTTCTAGTCGCTCCCGCTTTCGTCACAGCATGCGTCGGTTTTTGGAACGAATGGCAGCTTGTTGGCATGCCGCCCGAGACGGCTCTGGCGGGTGGTGGATGCGGCAACGAAAACACAAGTATGGTGGTAAAAGAACCCCGGAATTCGAAAAAACGAGAAACGAAGTGTTGAACAGGATAGTTACATTTGAGCGGGACTGTATACGACTGTTGCTTTCTTCAGCGTACCCAGGTGCCCCGTATGCGAGAATGACAAACAGCTTGGAGGTTTTGCTACTCGTTTGCAGAAACCACGGAGACAGAGACTTCAACAACCGAGTGGGAAGCCATGCAAGTGGTATTATATGCGGTCTGCTTGCATGTTTAATTGACCCCTGGGAACGCCCGAGACGTTCTGCCCTTCAAATTCTTAGTTCACAGGCAGGCCCAGTTTCTCGATTTGAATCAATCGGAGAAGCGGAAATTCTTCAAGAATTTGCGTTTAACGGTTTGATGTCACCCCGTCAAAAGGAGATAGATGCGAGTGCCTCCGTTTTCAGGTTCGTTTTTCGAAGGTTTGTCCTAGAGCAGCAACACACCTGCAAAGATCAATCGACATCTATAGATGTACAGAAAAGTTTACTCTTCCACGGCGAACCCAGTATAGGATTGAGTGCCGGGTCACTTGCGCGCATGTACCCTCCTCTGGCGTATGCCTGCTCTGTCCTGAATTCCCTAGAAGCTCAAGTCGCGCTCGCTGAGCAAGACTTTCAGGGCAGCTGCGAACGCGGCTTGTTCCACGGCTCATACTTGCTCTTGAGATACATTATTCAGGATTTGACTTGGAAAGATCTATGCTCGCCGAAACTCATGAGCCAAGCTTGCGAATTCGTTGAACAATTCCTCAGCATGGCCTGGCGATGCACCCGGATTGGCATGCGGGGAGTGTCTTTTGATTCTTTGAATTGCTCGCATGGTACTGGTGAAGATTTTGACTATGCCGAGTCTTCTAGTGACGTGAACGACGATGATGATATCCTTGTACATGAAAGTATTCAACTTGCGAGCACATCATGTTTTCTCACCATGAAAGAGATCTGTATTTGTGTCGGACTCTTGTGTCATGAAGTACCGTTCTCTGTGAGTGGTGCGCCAGAAGATAGAGACGGTGGAATTCTGACCATGAAGGAGATTTCTTGTATCATTGATTTGTTTCAGTTCGTATTTACAAATACAAGGCATTGGGGCGTAATTGACGGAGCATCGGAAGGGCTGCAGTTGCTATGCGAGGGATTATTGCAAACGCCCAGCTCTGACTTGCGATTCCTGCCCTCAAAGCTGATACGGGGATGTTTGCAAAGTGTTTTAACCGGGGAACTGTACGTCCTTCGCCGAAGCGCAGGAATACCAGCCATGTTTGCCGCAATTCTGAATGCCGAGGCATCTAAGCACACGCAATCTCACGACACTCCATTGCTACATGAGACAGCGACAGTTCTGCTACAGCACTTGCAAAACTCACACATGTACGTGCAAGAGGATGCATTACAAAAGAATCGCACCGAGCAAGAAAATTCTGTCGCTCATGCGTTGAACCTCCTACGCTCTATGTTTCTCAATGGAAACATCGCCAGCAGTATCCTGAGGTATTTGGAACCAGCAGCAATGGTCTGTATCAAGGCTTTCTGTTCCGCTTCTTGGCTTATCCGGAACTCGACGCTGATGTTATTCTCAGCTCTCGTGCGTCGCGGAATCGGTGTGTGCGTTGAGAGGAGGTCTTCAACAAATCTGTCTTCCTTTGAAGTAGCCGATAGAACAAGTGCAGTTTTAGATGGCGATCGTCGACTGCGAGGTGTGACTGCGTTTCAGTTCTTTTCACGGCATCCGAACTTGCATCCTTTCCTGCTACAGCAATTAGAAACTGCAGTTGAACTGTTCGAATATGAGGGAGACACCGATCATCCCAGTCTCTTTCCTACGCTATACTTGTTGTCCTCATTATCTCCGTCTACGGTAGAAGATCCAACAAGTGCGCTATCGATGGTCTCATTCCGTGCAACACTGCGCAAGTGTCTCCACTGGCGTTCGAATTATGTTCGACGAGTAGCAGCAGCGGCATGCGTGCCCTTAATAGAAGACTCCGCGCAGGTCTCAAAAGTAGTCGAAGACCATATGCTGACAGGAATTCCAACCAAAGCTCAAAGAACAGAGGCGATGCCACGTGCGACTGCTACAAAATCGGCATCAATGGAAAATGGAAGGTTCGGAGCAAAGATTAAGTTAGGAAAGACCCGAATTAGTCAAAATCATTTACACGGTGAGCTCCTTGCCCTCGCAGCGATCTTAAGGGGTATGAGGCAAAGTATGAGCCGTTTCGACAAGTGCAGCACATTGACAGTCTTAGCCAAGTGTCTTCCTGACCGCGTTTGGATTGCCGTTAATCCGGAGCTGAACCCGTGCAGCGTGACCAGATCATGCATGATTGTCGTTCTCATGAGAAGCTTTGAAATTGCTCAAGATATTAGGAGGCTGGACACCAAATCCGAAATCGCCAACGTTGATGCGGATGACGTAATCTCCCTGTGCAGAGAAGTGGCTTTGAAAATCAATTCTTGTGGTGAGGAGACATACGGCCTTGGCATGGAGGTTGGGTTTTCCAGTTTATTGAGCAGTTCTGCCAAACTTCTCGCGTTCATATCGGTGTCTCTCTATGATGCAGGGACCTCGACTCTACATGGAGCACTGCACGATCTTCTAAACTTGATTATGTCATCAAGACCAGAGAAAGTGTTAGTAGGAATGCGTGGTGTTGCTGATTTGCTTAGACGGAAGAGAGGAATTGTAACAGATGCGTGCGCAATTAATGACAACGAGCAGGACACCCTTCAACGTTTAGGAAAGGTTTGGAGGAAAGCGTACTCTGTTGCAAATGCATGCGACGATCAAGATCAGGAACTCCTCTTAGAGTCTTTGCGCGTGCAAGAAGCAATTCTGTTAATGCTTCACACAAGAGATGCGCCTTTGAATTGGGTAGTCGCGGGTGTAACTAGTGGCGATCTGGCGTCAATGCTCCGAATTGCGCAAACGCATCCGTGCGTTGACATCAGGGAACAGGCAACTAAGTTGTGTGGTCAGTTGGTTGCTCTTGCAGTTCCCGAGCAGCACGTGGGTATGGAATGGATATCCTTGATTGAAGACTATGGATCAAGTCAACAAGCCCCTACGACTCGAATAGCTGCTGGCAGTAGTTTCGAGAAAAGCGGCTTTGGACATCTAGGGCAAGGGCCGAGGCCAGCATTACACCAAGAACTAACTGTTCGCGGGTTTCTGCTACTCGCAAAGCTACTAGATGATGATGATGCAGAGGTTCGTGGGCACACTATGAGGATTGTGCACCATTGCAGGAGACCTACGGGAGAACAGAATACCTTTCCAAGTAGTATCTTGTCCTCTCTCACATGGATATATGACAACTTGAGCGAAAACTTTTCCCAGAGCCCCTCGCTTTTCCAGCACCTAGAAGATCAGATGAAAACATCAAACGAATTGCAAAAACCCGGACGTGATAGGCTGCTTGAAGTAGTCCAATTGATGCTGGGGCAGAAAGTGTCTAACCTAAGTGTGGCAAGGTCTACACAGCCTCCAGGTCGTAGATCTTCCCGAAGTGGTCACAGGAGTCAGCGTCTCTTCATCGTGGAAAACGATTCTTCCGATGCCGAGGCACTTCTTCACCTGCAGTTGGTTGCGTGGTGTTATCGGAAAATCATCTTGCGCCAGGTCACTAATACCACCGTGTTGTGTGCTAAAGTCTCTAAAATGGTGTCTGACCTCGTCACCGATCTATGCTCTGAGTTGAAGGAAGCTACTATGCCCAGAGAACTTGGCACTATCAATGGTGCGGTTTTCACCGCACAAGGTTTTCAAAGATGCTACAAGAGCGCCTTGCGATTGTTCCTCGGGATGACGTGTCTCAAGTCTGACAGTAGTAGCTGTGCAAGTGAAAGACTGATATTGGAAACAATGCTTGCAGAACGCCTGTCTGACATCCTGGTAAGGGTAGGAGCCAGCCTCCATTTCACTATTGTGAATGTCATCTCAGGGCTTCAAGACCTGCTCAGTGATGAGCCAAAGGAGAGAGAAGAGGCATGCCTGGGCAGAATTCTGTTTCTTCTTCAGGTATGATCATCCTCTTATACTAGCCCAGGTCTAGCTAGGTCTACAGCGATGCGACTGACGGCAGTAATCTGGCTTTCTACTTTGAAAAATGTAGCATCAAGCAAAAATTTCGATGACATTCAGCTCAACTGGATCCTCAGACAAGATCGATATAAGTCCGGACGATGCACAGTTGTTTGAAGAAGAAACCGCAACGAAATTTGTTTGCAGTTTAAAGTGTAGTTCGAGTCTTTCGCCGCGGCTGCTCCTTAGAACGGCGCCTTGAACGCTGTACCGCAAAACGACTAAGCCTTTTGGGACTGGCATATCACAGATGGCAGAAACTCGCGAGAGTTCGATGGATCACAGATGCGATGGAATTGAGACTTGTGTTAAAGTTCTCTCACAAAGGCTCCATACTGAGAGTGGCAAGGCTCGCAAAGGGCATGGTTTTTTCGGTCGCAAGAAGACAAAACTTATCATGCATCGTCTACGGTGTTCCACCGGGAGAGCAAGTACGCAAGGCATATGTTTTGATAGGAAAAATGTCGGTTGGGGAGTCCATCTGTTTTGATTCCCTAATAATCTCCAAATCTGCCTTCTGGAAGAGATGCTTGAGGTGCTCATCGCTGCGCATAATACTGGAGTCATCTTTATCAACTAAGAATCCTCGTCGGATGACACTTTCTTTTATGCAGATTACACCTTTTGAGGTGAGTGTCTTGCCACACTCGATCAAGAACGAGATGAAATCACGGTCGGTGAGATAAAGGATGCACCACTGAATCCAAATGAGATCATAGTGGCACAGCAAGGCTCTAGTGGGTGAGCAGTCGTCCAGGACGGCACCGTCCGCTCGAAAATGCTGCATTCCACAGGCAATTCTTTTGTCGACAGTTGACCCAACACGCGTGTTACCCAGAAAGACTGTGCTTTGGATGAGGTAGTGGTGGTTCTGTTCCAACATATCAACAGACAATGGAAGCAAGAGATGCTTGGTGACGCGACCAATTCTGGCACCTACATCTAAAGCGCGATTCCTTGCTCCAGTGCGGTTGCGGTTGTTGAGATGAGTGATGAACCTGCGGCTACCAGAAACGTCGCAGGCGCCGAGTTCGCCAAGTCCACCCAACATGCCGTCAATGGTGGCCTCCTGGGTTTACCAGTGGCGTGCGCTCTTGACCTACTACGGTTCATCACAGGGACGCCTTGCGCGAGGACGTTTTCCTGGTGAAGCGGGTGTGGCATCCGAGAGTTCTACTTTCCATAAATCAGCTATAGAGAGGTACCTGTCACCATTTGTGGAACCGCCAACACAATCAAATGAACTGAGGTCGTAGCGGGTCATTCGGAGGACGCGTTGATGTAAAGGAAACGGGGTGGCGTCAATGGGACGCAATAGAGCAGCAAGATTAGTTGTGTGAGGAGAACGCGAGAAATGAAGAGGGTACCATCTGCTACTGGCAACAAATTGAAAATGTACACGTGTCCTAAATCCCGTATACTGGGTTGCTGAGTGGGCCAGAGGTATGTTAACCGGAACAGAGGTCGAGTCCTTGACACACGCACAACCCACCCCGCTCCCCTGCGCCCCACCCCCATCTACAAAACTCTTCATCTCTGTAGGTTGACGCCCCCGAGAGTCACAGCGAGAGCAACAAAAATCTCTTCCCCCTCGCTCATCTCATTGCATCCACACCCGTTCCACCCCCTGGCACCCTCCTCTCCCTCTCCCTCTCCCCTTCTCCCTTGCCCCCTCGCTCTATCGCTCCTCCCTCCTCTCCACTCCCGCCCGCCCGCGCCCCCCCTCAGCCTGC